TTAATTATGAAAAAGTCTATAAAACAAACACTTTTAATGATACGATGTAATAACATAATATGTAATAATAATAATAATAATATGTAATAAAAACTTTATTTTTATAATTATAAATTATAAAAACAGTCTTAATATTACTGATTTTACAATAATATACACATATATGCAAATAAATTATTTATTATTTTTGTAACGGAAATGTTAAAATTTGTAAGATTATTTTTACTCGTAACTTTTGACTTAACTTAACTTGCACTTATGTTAAAAAAGTTCTCGGGCCTTAAAAATACCGTAAACGCTTAAATATTTTTATGTTATGTCGAAAGTACGACTTTTGCTCAAAATGTCCATCAGAACTAGTCAAACAATAAACCATTCTCTGGGGACGAGATAAAAAAAAAAATGCTTTTCCACCGTTATATTTTAAGTACACATCGTTTTCATGAGTACTTCCGACGATAACACGTAATATATACTGTTTTCTATCGAGAGTGACGGATAAACGCTTTGGGGAGATGATTTTTTTAATCAAAACATAAAAAAAAATCCAGTATACCGCGATATCTTCGAGATTTTTTTTTTTTTATAAAGACAATGACACTAGAGCGTACCGCATTATCCAAATGGAAGTAAAACGTGAGCATCCCTCGGTCAACAATCGTAAGACTAAAGGAAAATTTCTGATACAATAGAAACAAAGCATCACAGAAGAGGTAGTGATAAATGTTCCATAATTATATAGCCAGCAGACGTCTTGGTCGCATATCCATCGGCCTATATCACCGAGACGAAAGCTAACGCAAAATAATAGCGACCTGGTGTATTATTGTTACCACACGTCAAACGACTTAGCTTTTATTCAACAGTTTAGCCACAAACTTTGATGTATAACCACAGAACAACCAGAGGGATAGTAATATGAATTTACATTAATTCTTATGGGAGGTGATAAGAGCGATCCCGACATGACTAGAAACATGCCATTTGGTGCAAAGTCTTTTTGTTTCTAAATATTATACATCGTTGATCATTTGATTAGTGTTTGATTTCAAATTATTAACCATTTATTTAAAAAACCGACGTGAATTACATATTTAAAATGTACCCTTAAACCACGAAAAAAATTTTAATTTAGGGAACTTCTGTATTTTGGCATAAATATATGGACGACTGTTTTAGTCGACTATTAAGTTTCCCTTCTGGTAGTTCTATGATATAACCATTTTTTTTTCAGTCTGATCAAAAAGTCATTCAATGAAGTAATATAACTTGTCTAAAGTTCGTCCTTTGTAATTCGAAATCCTTTAGATTAATTAGTCTAATAGAATGATAAACAAATAAAACAATGTAATTTTATTAAAATAATATATTATCGACTGCAATATTTATTTAGTTGTTAACAGAGGCATCTTATTTACAAGTTTGCGGTTCATCGAAAAAAGGGTAAACTAAAGGGGAAGATTCGGGTTAACTGAGTAAATGCGGTAAACAAATATTACTGTGTGATATTGAAATATTATACCATCTCGAGGGATGCGACCGCGCATATCACTACCACTCGGTTTCTAAAAAAAAGAGTTAATTACACGAGCAACCGTGACAGTTTAAAAACTGCAGAAACTTTAGTAGTTTGTCCTGGCTGGAACAACAACTGCTACCGTCTTACTAAAAAGATAAATATCCATGTTGAGCCGTGTGTCTGCGCCAGGTTTAATTTACTAACTGTAGTGGTAAAAAGAGGGAAACTGAGACGGGCAGAGTGATTTATACGCTTTACTTTGCATCCGCCGACCATTTCGCCGTCTAACTGATACATGTTGCGCAAGTATAGATGTAAAAGGCGGCGGTAATTACTATTACACTAGTTAGGGATGAGAAATCCATATTTTTCGCAAACCTGCTATAAAATACAGGAAATGAAAACGGCAAAATTCCTTCGATAAACAATATATAGTAGTACAAAATATACAATAAATCATGTATAAACATTTTTAAAAAAATTCTCTACACATCATTTCGAATAAATGAATATTAAATTAATTATAATAAAAGTGCAATTAATTGTAATATATCAAAATTGCAAAAAAAGTTAAGCAAACATTATGAAAAATTGTAAGTTATTTTTTTTAAATATTTTATATTATTTTCTTAAATATTAAACCATATTTTGCAACTCGTTAAAATTTATTTACAATGGATATATTTCGCAAGTAATTAAAACATATATGGACCAGAAATGATAAGCTAAATATTAAATATTAACTAAAAAAATAGCTAATAAAAGGCTTATTTGATAAAAACAAAACGACTGAAAAGTTATTTAACAGTTTATCTAGTAAATCTAATGCGAAAAAAGTCAGAGTCCCATAGTGAATTCATTTGCGTTTTAGGTCAACATTCATGAATATATTATTAATCATTTACACGTGTGACTTTCAAATGTACTTAGCTCCCTAGAGAACTTATTTTGCGTTAAAACACTTTAACCATTAAGGCAAACATTACATGTAAATAAAATATTTATAAAAATATACATGCTGCTCTATAATGATTCCAATCTATAGCTGAGCTATTCAAATTCCAAGTTATTCGATAGTAATAGTCAATTAACGGAATAACTTTGGTTCAAATACTTAACTTGTTTGACAATGGCAGTTATAATATATGCAATAATATTTATTTCTGATTCAATAATCCTTAAGTCTAACCAATACTTGTTTTGAACACCAACAAACTCGTGACTTGTTTGTTCTCTTTCAATATGTTATACATTTGTTGTTTTATTATATTAATGATGATTATTTAACAAAATTTAATAAATAATTATTAATATTTTTCTATTCACATGACATTTTATTATTTTCTACTAATTAGTAAATGAATTAATTTTTTATACTAAAGTTTGTATTAGGTTAGGTCTATTAATATGATGGAGATTTTTTTATTAATAAATCTATATGAAATTTCAAAAGTATTTTGTACGAGATAGTTAATGATAAAAAAACATCAATAATAAATAGTGAAATAATCGTCATGAAAAAAATAATGCGACATAGTTAAGAACAGTAGAATTATAAAAATATAGTCATCGATAGTATTGAATGATGAATAATAAATTTTTATTGTTATGTGACCTTAATAAAGCAGTTGAGCATTTCCTTCATTTAAAATCGCTTAGTTTTACTTTGCTTATTGTTTCATTAGTAATTATTCACGCATATTTAATTAAGGAAATATTCAAATGCAGGTCGTTTGAAAAATCCGACAAATATTAATGTACTAACTAAATAACAAGAAGTTAAAATCATTTGTATTCAAATTACTAGTGCTAAATATATACGATATACAATAGGGTTTGACAAAATGGAGATTTTTCAAAAGCATTATTAGTTGCATTTGATAAGAATCAAAAGTTAAATAATACAAACCGCGGCTTTTGTGGGTACGTGATCTATTTTTTATACATGAACAAACATTTTTAAAACGTTAAGATACAAATGAATCTCAATTACTAGTACTGAAACTTTTTAGATTTAGTTAACTAAACAGTGTAATACAGTGTTCCCATTGCAGATTTTTTTATAAACAAAAATATATTTTCATAAAGCTCTCAACAATTTTAACTAAATTGTATAATTACAGCAAATAAGTAGGTAAATAATTTAAGTTTTAAAACTGATAAGATACTTCGATTAAATTGTTGATTATGATACAGTCTTCATTTTAAATAAAAATTAACTGGTAAATTAATTTTTAGTTTAAATAAAGGTTGAGGATTTCATAAGTATTGGTTATAATATTGATATTTCTTATCTTAGTTAATTATGTTCAATAAATCTGATGTTCACTATTATTAGGGTGGATTATTTTAATTTAACATGTGTAACTGAATAATCTTTAAAACTTAGTATAATAGGTATATTAAGATAAATGAAACAAATAAACAGACATACATGGAAATCCTGCCATGTTCTAATTTGTTTATCTAAAGAATGATTGATGTACTTTTAACCTTAACCGAACAAATAATTATAATTAGACATTTTTTATTTTACAATCGAAAATTTATCAGAATGAATTACAAGATTAAAAATATAATCGTAGCTATTATCGTGCACTAATAATCTAACTATTGATATAACCTAAAATATATGTAGAGCTGCTTTAACGAAAAATGTTCATCTCAGAATTTTAATTGACGTACTGCTCTTAACATAACTCATATAATCGTTTCTTATCTACACAATTTTTTTTTATACTAGAATGCCATTGTACATGTAATCATTCACCAATGTAGTGGACCTTTTACTAAGTGTTCAATAATATTTATGTTGGATAGTTAATAAATTAGCAATAAATTTTTTATAAACTGCAGCTTTTGAATGTTAAAGATAAGTTTAATGGATGCTCATACAAAAACCTGATTAATCGAATAAACCTGAGTTCATCGATAAAAAACTAAAATCAAATATTCAAACTCATTTTTATTCAAATTTATTTGGAATCGACAATATACTTTTATTAATTGAAAATTGACATCATAAACTACATGCATATAATTGAAATTAATTAAAAAAATAATGCATACATTTCAGCGTTTTTAATTACAAACAAGAACACATATTTTGTAACACAATTTTAAGCACAATAGAAGGAACTTATAATTTTTAGGTATAAAATAATTAATTTACCATTTAAAATTATATACATACATTAGATGTCTCAATATAAATATTGCACTTTCTCGCAGTATTTTACATATTAAATTCATATGAACAAATAGAAAAGAATTGAATCGATCAATGGGCTCGTAATTTTCAAATATAAAAATGAACAAATAAATTTCAAGTGCAAATAAGAGCTTAAGAAGTAAATTATTATACTACTATAGTTTACATGCGCTCATATCGACAGATCGAATAGAGGGGTGGGCGGTGTCGAGGGGGTGTGGGTGGCACGTCAAAAGAATGTATTGTACGTCGAAGTGCCCCCGTCGGGGTACCTATTCTGAACATCACCGCGGTAGTACGTGTACACAGTGTCACCGGGGGCCGCGACCGCGCGTGTGAATTGGTCAGAGGTGGCCGGGTCGGGAGCCAATGACAGCGCGCCGAATGTTCGCGTCACCGTAGCAACGGAACTATGTTGGCGGGGAGCGCACCGTACGCACGCCGCACACCGATCCCCGGTCGGGTCTACTAACCTAACCCGGTGGCCCGCGGGTCAGTTCACTCCGGTCTGGGATCGCGGCCGCCAGGTCTCCGAAAGGTCAAAACTCGAAACGATCGTCGTCACCGCCGACGTTTAACCGAACGATAAAAGTTTGCGTATTAATGTGTAAATACAATAATTTAATATAATTAATAATTTTTGATTTATTACAAGTGAAATATTAAATTAAAAACATTTTGTTTGCGTATGCCGTGAAAATTACTAGTAAAAAATATACGGTCTTCTCGTGCGTTTTTGTCGTAAAAAACCAAATCACATCGTCGTCGGGACAGCCCGGCAGTTTCAGCGGAAGCTCAGGTCCATACCGGCAGGCAACATTATTATTCCGCATAACGGCCTCGCGGTGTGTCGCGCGGCGGTAGGCGGACTATGCACTGTGTCCGGCGGTGGACCCGGCATGACCGGTGGCGGACCGATTGGCGGTTCGGCCGCACCACCGTCGCTACAACTACCACACGGTGTTCCACCGGATCCCCTTGGTGGTGGACACCACCACGACCTCGGCGGATTCACCCGTAGTATGGCCCTAGTGACACCCGCGTGGCGAGACCCGCCAATGGGTGGCGGTGGACACCACTTAGAAGAACCGCAGCAGAGTACCACACCGGGTACGACCAGCTCGCAATCGGGTGGAACGATGGTCGCACTCGGTGGACAGTGCGACAAAAACGGACAAAATATCGAATGTGTCGTTTGCGGTGATAAAAGTAGCGGAAAACACTACGGACAATTTACTTGTGAAGGTCAGTTTTAAAAAAATTGTGTATACTTTCTAATTCAAAATTAACTGGCCAACTCTTAAAAAAATCAATCTGATAAAATTTTCAATCAAATTTTGATAAAATAAAAAAATAAATAAAGTGTAAAAATCGCAAGAAAAATAAACATTTAATTTAGAAAATTACGATAAAAAAAAATTAATATAAAATTGTGGGAAGAAAAACTGTATAACATTTAATTTTCCGTTGAGCTTGTCAGCTGGAACGGTTATATCGCAAAAAACTAACTCAAATAAATTACTTTTTCCTAAACCCAAAAAAAAAACTAATTATAACAAAAAAAAAAAGAATTTTAAAAAATAAAATTTGTTTCCCCATTTCCAAACGCATGCGGAATCTAATGCCAAACAAACACGCGAACTGCCGAACAAGAAACCGGATTCCTTTGGGTCAACTGGTCGCCGGGTCATAACCCGCGTGTTTACTGAACGGTTCAACGATGATATATAACACCCGTCACCCTCGTAATGTAAACAAGCAGATGATAATAATGTTATCTTATTGGAAATAAGTGTATTACGAGTGTAATAATATTAAATTAGCATTTTGTTATAACCGGAAGCGAGGAAATTAAAATCTCATCCAAAGCCTCGTTTTATGTCCTAAATCCTATATGTCTTTAAAACATCATTTATCAATCGTTTAAAAATATGATATCATTTTTGTACTTCATGAAAGTCTAAAAATTACTAAATACAATAATTAAATATGACTTGTAAAAATAATTATTTTAAAAATACAAATGTAATTCGTTTCAAAGTCATTTACAAAAAAACAATTGCCCTTTTTTCATTTGATTTCGAACGATTTAACTTAAAAATGAATTTTGACAAAGTTGAAAAAATTAGCATACTTAAAATTAATATATTCACACCTCATCGTCTTTAAAAAATAAAAGAAAAGTGTACAAATTAGTGTATTAAAATGTTTTAATTAATTAGGTATAACACTGCTCACGTTCCAAACAGTAGTTTTCTTCGTTGAATTATATTACTTTTCTCTTTCTAGATTTATGCATTAAAAAAAATTGTTTAATATTTACCAGTTTTTAAGGAAACAATTAGTTAATAACATAAAAAAAATAACTTAAGCTATTAAAAAGTGATATTTTATTTTATAGATCTCCAATCACTCTAACTACAATTCAATCATAATTATTTGTGAATTTACATAAAACAAAATACATTTTCTTAGCTTAGTGTTATGAATTAATTATACACCCAATAATTTGTCAACTTTCAGACAATAAATTATACTTTAACGTTACCCATAATTTGAATGAACTCGCACGTGCTGCATATACACATATATTAGGTAATTGGAGTAATCAAGTAGGCACAACTAATTTTACAATACTGAACCGGTTATTCGGTGAGGTTATTGAATAATTTTCTTATTTATATCACTTAAATTTCGATTAAAAAAAAAAGGTGTCTAATAATATTGCCAACACTTATACTCGCGCAAAATAACAAAAAAATAATCACACCAAATAAACTACCCTTAGGGTATTATTCTACTTGTTGCTCTCTTTAACCCCTCGACAATGATTTGTTGACTTTCAATATAAATATTATGTAAATTCATAAAAACTATCTTTTCATAAATGAGAATCCAAAATGAGTGTACTTAACAAAATAATAATAATTTTTATCAAAGTCGTATACAACAGTGTTGTAAGTATAACAAATAATATAGCTCAATAAAAATATATTAACATTTAGACAGCTATATGTTGACTTCAATACGCCTTTTTTTTTACTCATGGATAAAAATTAACTTCTATTATTGATTCCATTTTGATAATTAAAATAAAGCAAATATACATAAATTTTTATATTTTTGTTAATTTTAAATCAACTATAATGTGTTGAATTTTCATGATAATCACTAACGTTAATCAAAAAATAAGATTTTTTTAAGAGAGATTATTAATTGCTTAGTATTATTGAAAAAATTTGAGTGAATATAACATTTTTATCAATTTGAATTTACAAGCTCAAAATATCATTTAATACCAATATTATTTAAAGATCTTTACGTTGTAATATTTCTTAACGGTTAATGTTATTTGACATCTGTCTATTATTTGACTAATAAGTGTCAAAATAAAAAAATACTGAAAACTTCATAAAAATAAACACTTGTCAACAGCTATCACTCTGTAAAATGAATATTCGACTTCTAAGGATTTTATTTTTATTTTTTCGTTCTCGGCGGGAATAGAAAAAAAAGCCTTTTTCACCCTCTAAAACCAAGCCGTAAGGTTTTACACCCATTTAAAAATACTGCGTTTTTTAATGACTGGACGAAAGGACAGTGATAATAACGATAATAAACCGCATTTTTTAAAAACACCGACGGTAACGAATACAACGTCCGGACGGTGTGCGTCCCTTCATTATCAAAGTACTATTCTCTTTTCTCCTACCCCATTGTCTGGATTTTCATTTTTTGTTAACATGATCTTTTTTCCGCCTCTTTATATTTTTACACCCTGTTGACTTACCCAGCACGAGTACGCTTAAACACAACGTTTTGTTTGTACATTTTAATTGTATGATGTTTTCCGTTTNCGGTGCACGATCCGAGTACGCTTAAACACAACGTTTTGTTTGTACATTTTAATTGTATGATGTTTTCCGTTTCGGTCTTAATTAGTCCCACCCGGTCTGCGAGCCAGTCCAGTGTAACATTAAACGCCGGGGAATTAGCCAAGGTGACGGAAGGGAAGTGTTTGAAGCACTACAGAAATACGACTATGATAAAAAAAAAATAGTAATAAAAAACAAGGACTCACACCCTGGAGTAGATTAAAAGTTGGTCCGCATTAATTCGAGCGTATATTATATTGTTTGCGCAAGGACACTTTAATTATAACATCAGATTAGGTGTCGTATCATAAATGTCTACTCCTCGCATGAAAGTGTTTGTGGTAAGTGACTATAATAGAAAATTGCAAACAATATCCATTAATAAAAATGTTGAACTCCCGTACACGACAAATGGTTTCATCTTGTACATTCTGCGTTGAGATTTTTTACGTCTCTAATAAAGAGAGTAATAATACCAAAAAAGAGATAAATTAATTTTTCTTAATAATATGTTCAACACGCCAATATCAAGCAGATATTTTATTAACGAGCTCGTTTACCTTCGAGTATTCGGCTAAACATATGTTGTCAAGTGACTCGTTTTATGATATCTACAAAGCGCATCAATTAAATTAAATAATAAAATGAAAGCCAACTGAAACTTTTCAACATATCGATTCGTACATGATAAATACATCCACTGGTTATCATAGTGTTTCTATTTTGGTGTTGTCTTAACATTTCTGAACGGTACATTAAATTATTACAGCGTAATTTCCCTTCGTTGGACCCGCGAGCCATACCTTAAACGCTACAAATATAGTAACTCATTTCTGAATGGATGATGCTTTACAAGATCACTCCATAGATAAATCCATTCCGTGTAATACGCTACGTTTTTATACAAATAATAGTAAACTATAATTTGTTTGTTTAGCCGGTTGCATGTAGTCGAGAGGGAGATCGTTAATGATACACACTGGGAGAACGCAACGCATTAACAAACGTAAATTTACAGCAAAATTAACGACGGCCCAGCCCATGCGATGTTTGGTCACTTCACGGTCTCTAAATTCGGCACGTTCGTGATAAATTAAATACAATTATTAGCCAAAAAAATATGTGTTGGTAAAAAAATAAAGTGAGCAGCAGTTTATAATATTATACGTTCGAAGTATTTTGTTACTCACAACACAACCGAAATTATTAGTCTAAATTGATAATAATACAAAAAGGTATCACATTGACAAATGAGAAAACAAACAATGGGAGTTCTCATAAAGAACAACCGACTCGTTGACAGGTAAAAATGTAATCAATTAACAATTGAACTTTTTATTGTTTCTGTGCATTAGCCGCGTTAATCGGTTTGAATGGCACTGAATTCTCACGTGTATATTGTTGCGAGTCGTGGGGCACACTGTTTTGTCAAAACGTCGATGAAATTCAAATGTTTTTTAGTACACTTAGGTGTGACCCACAGACGAATTTTGTCAGACATGACGTACGGCAACACTATTAAATTTCATGGAAGACTTGTCCGACAAAAAGCATTGCACCTCGTGTGATGTTATTAGAATATTATGCTCGGCGGACAAATAAAATAAGCGCAGTCACGACGGTCAGACACCCTTTCGTTTGTGTGTACCCAAGTGCGTTTCGAACCCGTAATTTATCTCCCTCTCGCTCTCCTTTCATTATATTTTTTATACGCGCAGGACGACTTCGATAAAGAAAAATAAATAGTACTGGCCGCAGAGGAATGCGAGATGCGTACGGCGTATGTGCACCGAGAGAACCTTATTGTTGTCGGCGGCGACCGCCCTCGCTCTCTCTCCTCTCTCTGGGCCGCCGCCGAGGCGTTTGTGAGAGGAACGCTCGCGCGCCCGAGTCTTTCGTCGCCGTTCTTCTTATTATTATTATCATCATTACTACTACTATTATTATTATTATTGTTATCACTATTACTATTGTTGTTGGCCGGTCGCAACACACACGGCATAGTGTACACGCGAGTTCGCGTAAATCGGCGTACGTGTGTGTGTAGCGCGAGCCCCAAACCTGTTAGGCGGCCAACGATGCCGTGGGAACCGGTCTCGCCGCGTGTACATCACTATTGTACTTCACCGCCGCTGTGTCTTCTTCTACTACTTCTTTTTCTTCTTCCTATTAGTCATACGAGTACGGTATGCGTTGATACGGCCAACAGTGTGTGTATCAAAATAATAATAAAGCGAAATGAAAATATCGTAGAAGGATAATGATAATGTTGGTCGTCTCGCGCGGTTCATCAACACACAATGGACATGTTTTCTTCTCCTATCTGTCATTATTATTATTATTCGCTGGAGGTGTTTTTTTTTTTTTCATCCAAATTATTTTCCCATACAGCATCATGTACATTATGATCATAACGCACGTTCGCGTGCCTCCCACAAGAGAAAACTTTTTGCAAATTACATTCTCGTTTATGGGCTAAGCGAAATTACACTCGTTTCACAAAATAACACGCTAAAAAATGAAAATTAAACGCAACCTACTCATCTTTTAACGCGACTACCAGTTTTTTAAACGCGCCTGTAATAAACGTAAGCGGCAACATTTCTAATAAAAGTATTATACTGTAATAAAAAGTGAAATTATCGTGTAACGTACACGACGACAATATCACATAGACATATGTGGAATGTATTTTTTTCTATAAAAATTGTTCGTAGTCCCCACGATGAACATTGTTACCATTTAATTCAACAGAAATCACAGGGACATCAGATGAAGAATATTAATTGTTTAATTCAATACAATATTAAGAGAAACTCTTCATAGATTTTCATTGAGATAGTTTTCCGCGAGATTTGTAAATAAGTGTATTGTATTACACAGAAGTTGACAGGTTAATGGTAAAAATGTAACGCGATACCTACTTGTTGAAATTGAGCACAAATATATTTGCATAATAATTATAATAAATGTAATTTATAACTTTGCGGCGCCAGCAGGGGGCGTCAAGTAAACTGCGTTATTATTCGCTTTATAACTTTGCTAATGACATTAAAACGTGTGTTAAAGTGTTCGTTTGTGTTTTCAACAGGTTGCAAGAGCTTTTTTAAAAGGAGCGTCCGCCGGAACCTAACGTACTCTTGTCGGGGTAGCCGGAACTGTCCTATCGATCAACATCACCGGAACCAATGTCAGTACTGTCGGCTAAAAAAGTGTCTGAAAATGGGCATGCGCAGAGAAGGTAAGAAGGAAATATCATGTTCACCCGCTATAATAACATTATTATCATAAATTTCCCATATACGCGCCCACTATACGTATAGGCAATGTAATAAATAATTATTACGCTGTGTGTAATAATGAGAAGATGAAAACCTGAATAGCAATTATAATATTCCCCGTGCGGAGATCCGACGGTCGATAAAGACACGCTCACATGCTTACATTGCACCGTGTCAAATGGTTATTGCGGGTCTCCCATTCTCCTAAGCATCCACGACACATCTCAATGATTAACAATAATGTGAGAACTTCGCCTCGTACCTGTCGATATATCGTGCGCATTGCAATCGCGTGGAACTTCCAAAAGAGTATTGGGAAAGAAAGATTTCCGGGGTGGGGAAGGCGGTTCCTCAAGGTCGCGGTTGCGCGCTCAAAGGAAGCGACGGGTCGACATTCTCGAGATTTCAACGAGTCATCACACATCAAAAATTTGTTTTTATACAAAATATTTGTACACCGTACAACTACACGTGTACACAGTGTTCACTGATAGGTCTCGTCCGCCTACGCGTTGTGAAAAAACCCATCGACTTGCACGATTTCACGCAGACTTAATGTCTGATATACATTACTTGGTGCAGGTATGTTTTTTCATGTGCCTAATATGAACCGGCCACGGTCTGCTGGGGCTGGTCGGGCGCGCGAGGGCAATATCCGTGAAATTGTTAGTCGGTTCCAAACAAGGAGAGTGCACAGCGCTAACGAGGGAGGAACGAGTGGCCTATACATGTCGAGGCTAAACACCCGTGATCCGTCCGGTGATAATGAACCAACGAGTTTTTCTTTTTTTAATCGAAGTTATGACTATATGATTGCAGGATATTTTGATGACTCGTTGAAAACGCCGAATTTTAGTAGTTTAACAATAGGTCGGTGTAAATAAATAACGGCAAATCCGATTACAAATATCTTAGGCGACGTTTATTAGCATTATTTAGACAAAGTACCGCTCAAAACGCGATCGTACTTGTTCCTCTTCACATTATCCGCGTAACGGGTAATTTTACTTGTCTAATTAAAAATCTAAACGTCAAACGGTTCGCACAAAACGTAGCAGTCTATCCGCATACTATTGAATCTTCGGTAACCCATCTCTAAGTCATCGTACAGCACACGAAATCGTGTAGGTGTATAAATACTCGGTAGACCGGACCGATTGGTGGTATTTGATTTTGGAAGTCTTACAGGTCCCAATTAGAAAACAAAGCGCACGCTCGTGATCCAAGAGGCCGCTCGTCGCTTCCCGTTTACACGTCTTCGATATATTAGTGGCTTTTATGACCTCGTCTACAAGTTGCATACAATGAGTTTTTTAACGACTTGCACATTTTTTTTTTCTCCTCTCGACCGCCAATTACCATGATTATTACAAAGACTACGCCGAATTGCAAGCATCGTTACGCGCTAGAATAACCTAACCATTAATCTGACCAGAAGACTTTACGGTACCAGTACAGCTCTCTGACGTCCGTAAAGTAACCAACATTTAAGTTTTACACTGTCGTTTGTTAAACACGACTTATTGTGCTAACGTATTCTCGAATGTGATACGACACACTGACGCAAAGAGAAAACTGTGTTTTCGGCGGACATTTTGTCAGTAATTACGTACGGAAACATTCGACTGAACATTGTTGTATATAATTTTTTTTTTGCCGACAACGATAATTCTATTCTGCATTGTGGACCACGTTGATGCAGCGATTCTCCTTTCGCCGCCGCTTTCCAAGCACGATCCTCTCTTTCGACGACCAATAGCGCCATATTATATTATAAACCGTACTGCAATATGAATATTACAATAACCGTTGTGTAAACATTACACGTGTCCGTGCACTGTAGAATAAAAGGAAAGATACTTTCGCTCTACCTGTGAGTAGTTATATTGCGGTTAATTGCTCGAGTCACGCTGTAGACCATATTATAACACACTACAAGTGTTTTTTACGGCATAGATGAAATGACTCGGAGGACATACAGCCGTCGTGCAGTTTACACGCAACGCTTGTGGCCATGTAAAGCGACCAGCTCTTACTCGATTTCGCATCGCGGGGTGCCGCGGCGGTCGTCGTTGTTGGCGCAAGAGAGTTGTAAGGTTCGCAAAGTATCTCAAAACCAATTAATTTGTTTTTGGAAAACGCAAAAGAGCACACCAAGTAAAACGATAACGTCTCGTGGCTTGACGAGTCTTGAAACTCTCTAAACGCCTTCCATGTATTGTACCAAAAGCGACAGCGAAGCAATTTCAAAATACGCTTATTAACTGAAAGTGTGTAATCCCAAAAGAATAACGATAATGGAAGAACAAGTAATAATAGAGCAAGTCGAAAAATACGGTGCATGTAATAGAGGAGGTATGAAAAGTTTTTTTTACACGCCCTCTCAATGAAGAAACAATAAAAATAAAATAATTCTATTCTTGTTGGCACAATCAGTATGGATAGCCGGCACTACTTCTAAATCAACACTGCTTTTCTGGTGCGCGTTAAAATGTTTCGGATCCGAATGTTCTTGATGCCAACGTTTTAAGTGTTGTATTATTATCATAAACGTTCCGACTGAGAAACTTAAGTGAAGTAGGAGAAATTCTGCGCTTACATTACAAGTAGTTTTGTTCTCGTAAAACGAGTACTTATCTGTAGTGTAGACCGTAAACGTTTCTACGGGTTTCTCGAGTAGACAATATTATTATTATTTATACTTTTTGCGCTCAACTGCAGCCAAAGTCGTGACAAACGAGAAACGCTATTGCATAATCATCTTTCGCATATTTTGTCGGATGAGAATAATATCGTTTATCGTGTACCGCTACCGCCGCTTGCCGTTCTTATACGCATACGTTTAATATATACGTTACACACACGATACAGTACATATAATGTATTGCACGTGCTTTTATGAGCCACCGACTACAGGTACTTAGACAATAATATGGACCTCATACAGCGATAATGTAATGTTACTATTGTAATAATCCTGCATTGTTATGCAACGTTATCGTGTATTAATATATAATATTGTTATTAGTATTTTTTTTTTGTGGGCGGACGATTTTTCAAAACTAGTTACACTAACCTAATGATATTTGCACCGAACTGGTTTAATAATCGAGTTTAAAAGAGTAAACGCCGGTCCAATAATAGTCTGCAGTCTGTAAATCAGTACAGATTATTTAGCCTTGGATTTATTTTTCCTGAAATGAATGTTAATAATTTTTCCATAAACGTAGAAAATATTTTATAGAAAAAACTTAAAAACCAAAGTGATGTTTGTCGATCTCGAAAATGTTGAATGTTTTTTAAATGGTTTTCAACTATAACTATTAACAGCGAGTAACATTAATTTTTATGGCGATTCAGAGAAATTTTAAATGAATGAAATGAAACTGCCATACTTGGCCAAGACACGTCGAATCCTTGAGAGTGACCTTAGCCATACTAAAACATAGGTGTTATGTTCTACACGCGTTCGTCAAAATCTAAGTACACAGCGGAGGTTTTGCGAAATGTCATCGTCGTTATCCGCACGATCAACAGTAGTGTAGTCATTGAATATAATTTGTTTACTTGCAATTCCATCTAAGGATGTACACTAAAACAAACGTAGAGCTGTTGGTGTGCGTCGTCACTTTTATAGACTGTTTTATAAGTTTTTTTTTAAGTATCATAATTTTATCAAAAGTTTTCTCTAAAAACAGGTGAAAGGAGATTCTGAATAGATTTTATGGTTATTATTTTCAATTAACGAGTTTCGAATTAAAAAACGTCTTGAATTATAATTTTTTTTCCAGTTTTCTCTGGAACGGAGTAATGTTTGGAGGAAGTGCCAATACTATTATTACAATACCCATTAGGTTCCTACGATTAGACTTAGTGACATTCCACTGGGCACAATCGAAAGCGCACGCAGTAGGTCGGCGCGGTAAGGTATCCTGCGGTAATATATCACAGGACACGGTACGGCGGCGGTCGCAGGCCGAGGTGAGCTTGTTTACGACGAAGGTGAAGGCCATCACTACTACAATACTACTACTATATTGTGGGCTACACACGAGTCGTATTGTTATATCGGCGTCGCCGTCGAAGAACACAATGCACCGTACTATTGTTGCGTGCGTGGTCAGTCAATGTGCCACACATATATTATTGTTCGTTGTGCAAAAGTCTTATCGGGCGGAGTCACGCGAAACGTATGCACAGATTGTCCGCAGTTCATATGTATCATATTTTAAAGGTGACAATCGGATGGGGGTGGAGTCCTGGCCATTGTTGTGCGAACCGAAGCAATTGGCCGTTTCGAATTAGTCACACGCCGAAATTACTACGCACTTTTACATCGGATGAACGATCCGGTCAACTGTTGCCGTGTGGTGATCATTGCCATTGTCAATCACACGAGACGGTAGTAATGTGACGTTCACGGTGTAAAATGAATTCTCCATGCGAAAAACAACGTGTGACGGACGATGGCAAATGGGAAATTGTCGCTTTTCACTGAGCGTATGTGACGCGATATGTTGTACTCCAATAATGTATCACTAAACAGATCTATTTCAGCCCACCCGTGTAGTATGCGACGAAACATTATGGAATCGATTTGTACACGGTTTATTAGATGTCCATTTCTACAGCGACACGTCAACGCTCTACCCTCTGGCCGCCTTCACGAATATTGCCACAGCGGGCCAACACCTACAGATCGTTAAGTGGTGTACAACTACGTGGAACAAATCTCATGTGGCAGACCAATTAATTTTCTGTAGATTTTCTCTCCTACAGGAATTCTACACACCTAACGCATCACATTTCATTAGTGTTAGTAACAAAGAAAATGAAATGCTGAAAAACACTATTTAGATGCCAAAAAACATTATATTATCTCTTATTAAGTAAATAATTATTTTTACACACATACACTCTGTACTCCATAATTTCTAAATATTGGACCATATGAGTTTTTATAGTTATTCATATTAACATTTTTAATATAAAAAATTATATTATGTATAAAATATACGAATCATCTCCTCCGTGTATCACATTAATACGCAAGATATTTTTATACTGTTACTACACAATATATTTTACGGTCAAATATTCTCCGTATTCGATTTTTATTACTGTGTTTGAAGACTAAAAAGACACTCTCGCGACGACGTGGCAGCGGTCAGCAAAGAAGTAATAACTTCGTGTGCAAACGGGAGGTTTTCATTAGCGCCATAAATCGCTTGTGGATGTGACGGAGAGAATCGACTAACAAATCTTGTAGGCAGTAAATACAAGGGCATTAAAAACGCTATGCAACTAGACTATTGTCTGAGAATAGTGCGGCGAATTATAATAATAATATCTGCCAACGATCTCGTTAAAAACATAACTGGAGTGTAATGAACGGAACGGACCTTTTTTGGATCACATTTGTCTTTGCACGAAAGATCACCAACAACTCCCTTTAAACATTCGCTATAGCGTAATTCTGGCCAACTTTATAAGCACTTGCTTGTACCAACAGAAATGATTAGCATAATTAAATCCCATCCGCTACAGTTAGTGTTGAAAATATATTTCTATCTCATTTAACTACTTATTAGCAACAGTCTTTTTTTTTTTCAAACACCTTCTCCTTTCCAGTATACTTTGATCTTTTACAGTTTTTATTCACCTAATTGGTATGACTATTTATAGGGTCTTATTTATTTCGTCTCTTCTAATAGTCAAAAAAAATCATCTGATTGTAAATAAAAACATTACAATGCTCAGGAAAAATACAAGAATATGTTGTCGACATTATTACATTCTAAGAGTTATTTTACACGAAGAATATTTAAGAGCCTGACGCTTAAAGTAATGTTCATTTTTTGTGCAAATGAGTTTAATGAAGTAATTTAGGTCGGCTTTTATAATAAGATTTCATTTAAATTGTTTAAACTTAATATAGATTACCTTTCATACATAATAGTCCGTTCTATGAAATAGAATAGTTAATATTTTATATTTTAAATTATCCACAAAACTGGGGGACAACATCCCCACGGAATACTAGAAAAAATATAAAAACTCGAGAGATAATACAAAGACAGTAAAAATATTCCACAAACAAGGAACGCTTGGGGCTATTAGTTTTTCAATAGAAACGGTCAGATAAAAGAACGAAACTCCTGACAAAAAAAAAAAAAAAACGAGGGTCTCTAGGGTCGTTGACAGATGTCAAAATCATTAATTTGGGTTTTCCATAACGGATTTCGACAGAACTTAATAGAATTCGGTTGTTACCATAAGTCATATGGGAAGTCCGGAAAAACAAGTTTCAAGAAAATTAAAGAACTTTAAACCCGTTCACATATAAAGGGTCTTCATAATCATTAAACTATATATAAATTCTATCCGTGGGATCGATAACTGGATCTAAACGGGTTCCGATCAGTAACCGAAACACGTCCCGTAGGCGAATCTTCACACGGGACGACTTTAAGGGTTCGAACTCGTTCGATCGGCTACTGGTCTATTTCATGGGAATTGACCAAAACCGGACACCCGCCACAGTTGCGCCTGTATCGACAAGGGGAATAATTTCAGAATAATCAAAGAAGGGCAGCAAGTGCTTTAAATGTTCAAACTGTTTTCAACAAATTTATTGGTATTTGGTAATTACACTACACAATAATAACAATAACAATAATTATTGTTATTAATAATAGGCTTATAAATAAAAAGCATTCCTTAAAAATGTTTGGTACAAAAGTTACTAATTTATTTGAACATAATAATATTTTCCATACTAATTTACATTATATTTTTGTGATTTCAGCCGTACAAAGAGGTCGAGTTCCGGCCAATCAACCACCCAGTTTGACGGGTTTACCCGGTCAATTATGCCTTACCAACGGTGATGCTGCTGCAGCCGCGGCCGTTGCAGTAGGCGCAGTGGGCCTGAACGGACACTCTTATCTCTCGTCATATATTTCATTGCTTTTGCGGGCCGAACCTTATCCAACATCCAGGTACGGTCAATGTATGCAATCCAACAACATCATGGGCATTGACAACATATGTGAACTGGCTGCCAGGTTACTGTTTAGCGCCGTTGAATGGGCTAGAAATATACCGTTCTTCCCTGACCTCCAGGTGAGCAGCACATACTTTTGTAGTTATTTTAACACATTCTCACATTACACGCCCACCTCGAATACGCGACAGTTTTTTCTAAATTATGATAATCTATAGAACTCTACAAGCTAAATTTTGTTCATCAATTAAAAACACATTATAACAGCAAAAAAAAAACTCCTAATTTTCACGTTGAGAACACAACAGACATTGGTTCAGGCCACAGGAGTCGACGTTGAACGGCTCAAATTACCTTTGATTACGATCCACCAACTTACAAAAGCACTTCTTAAATACGACTTAATGATAGAATTCTATTATTGCAATATTATATATTGTCTCAACGTTCATATATAGCTAATGATATATTATTATCAACAGTTGTGTACACCTCCCACTTAATGGCTATAATTAATTTCTAATTTTTATTTTTTTGTGGTAGGTAACTGATCAAGTAGCCTTACTGAGGCTTGTTTGGAGCGAACTGTTCGTATTAAACGCATCACAATGTTCGATGCCACTTCATGTAGCTCCTTTGTTGGCAGCTGCCGGACTACATGCCTCTCCTATGGCTGCAGATCGAGTGGTCGCCTTTATGGACCATATACGTATATTCCAAGAACAAGTAGAAAAACTCAAAGCCCTGCACGTGGATGCTGCTGAATATAGTTGTTTGAAAGCCATCGTCTTGTTCACTACCGGTAAGTTTATTTCGAACGATTATTTCATAAATAGCACAAAAGTCTCTGTTGATACTCAAAGATAACACTTTGAAAGGGGAAGATTCGTTTGTGGGTAACTCTCTGATAGTTGTTTTTACAATCCAATTGTATTCATAGAAAGTCACCGGAGTAGAAGAAGAGCTCGCAAAAATAAAATATTATTACTAAAATCGCTGCGTTGATATGAGCCGCAGGCTTGCAAATCGTGGCTGGCCCGTCTTTGCTTTCACTTCGGCGGCAGCGGCTGATGCATCACCCCGGCGGAAACGGGTTTTCTCCGTATGCCTTACTGCAACGGTCGTGAGATCGTCCGTCGGGAATCTCTTCGTGTACTGATGCCGCTCACGTCCAAATACAGTCTCTAATCGTGATTTTAGTGCATTTTTGATATACACACGCTTAAATGTACATTTAATTGCAAAAAAAAAAAATATGACAATAATAAAAACACCAAATTAACCTTCACTATAGAAGAGTTAATAACTTACTATTAAGGGACTACATAATACACCTCACGCTGTACAAGGAGAAAACTATTATTACGTTCAAACATCTTTTAAATGCGTCTTGAATACAAGAAAGTAATAACACACATACTAGTCAGCGTAGGTATTCGGCAGACTTGTATTAGGACCACATGCACGAGCTCGAACAAGGAAATTAACTTGTGAGTTCCGCCTTTTTTTGATGATACGACGTAAGCCCAGTCTCCCGCGACAACGTGTCGGTATATTCATGCGAAATTACAGAAATCGGTCACGATCAAATCAGTACTTACTAAAAACATACAATTTATTTCCGTAAAACGGGCAAAAAGCAAAAACCGCATATAGCCAAACAATTTTCACGCCCGCACATTTGCCAGTCGCGTTCATACAAATAGAAACATACACGCGCGTCGTTTTGCCTTGTTGTCCTACTTTTAACTCTCTAGCGAACGGCGCATCCCGGATCCAACAAATGCATGCAGATCATTATCGGCCGTTCCACATCTTCAAATGTTCCCACGGATAGTCAATGTTTAAGGGACGGTGTACATTCTATGACAGCATTGGTAGAGAAGCGCAGCAGTCTGTAATCATAGCTATAAGTTTATCAATTATATAAAAATTAAACAAACTGGCCAAAATTTTACAAAAAAACAGCCCGTTTACAAATATTGTGCATATCTTCGTAGATTCCGCACACGATATCCAAATCTAACTTAATTGTGTACAATTGACGATAATTTACTTATCAGCAATCAATGGCATGCTGCGATCAACGTTAAAGCTCCGCAATGGATCGCCACCAAAGCGTTTTGGTATCGCGTTGATCTATAGGTACCTTACTGATTGAGAGACGCGCTCCTCTTTTCAATTATGCCATTGTGTACGCTCGATGCAGAATGCATAATGCGCACAAACCAGTTGTATGGACTAATAAATAACTGCGGTAGAGCTGCTGCTGGTGCAGAGGGCATGGCCCCAGACAATACCATTCTTCGTCTAAGGCATGGTCATTAAAACTGTGAGTATTCCTATACGTGAGCGCGTGTCGTCTTTTGTTCCCACCTGATGAGTGACCCAACTAATGAGATCCGTGGGCCGTGATAACGGTGCGGACGGTATTTTATTTAATGTCTTTTTTTATTAAGTTAACATAAACGACATATTTTCCGAGCAATTGCAAATCTATGGAAATCATTTAGCTATACGCTTGTGCGAGGCGAATGTATGGTTCAATATGTAACCAACGGTAATCGCCAATTCCCATTGGCACGGTGCCTGTGCAGGCTCTCTGGTAGACAAGGTAATTTTGACGAGACCCCCCGCCGGCTCTTTGTACTCGTACTGAAATTTTATTCCGTAACGTTGGTAGTATTTTTCGGGTATGCAATTAATCGTAACGAGTTACATATAAAAAGTGATTAAAAGCGCGCGGAAGACCATTTGGATTCGTAGAATGGCCCGAAGACAAGTACGCGTCGGCGGCGGCGGTGGTAGTTCAGTGTGAACACAAGTCTTACACGAACACCTATAATATTATGTTTATTATGTACACTTCGATCGTGCGGCAGTCAACGATTTCTAGTTTTCGATGCTTCGGGTTAAACGATATGTACTCAGCAACAGCAACGATAAATCCTGGTGACCCAGTGGCCCACCTGGCCATTGGGGGTCATTGAAAGCGTGGGCGTTTACCAGCTCCTGCGCATTAAATTATACACAGACGCCGTCGCGTGTGCTTGTACTTTTTACTAAGTACATGAGTACAATAAAGTATAACAACACTCAGGCGAAATAGATTGCTCGGAGAAATAATTTTAATGCGTACGCAACAGAAAACCTGAAAAAAAAAGACACCAGGCAAAGATTAAGCCCAACTGCGTTTCAGAAAACAACTCGTTCATTCCAAACGTTAATGTGCACGATGGTCTCGCACTTCCTGAAGATCACACAACGTTATAATTCAAATGTCGATAAACCGAATTCTTCTCTTCGCGATTACTTTCGTTTTCAAATGATCGTCGAAAAATGAAAAATTGCATTTGCGGCGTTAATTCTCATATAAAAATAAAACAAATTTATTATTTACCGGCGAAGGTCGACGACAGTGTAAATTACTAGGGAACGCAGCGTTCTTAACGAGTGACCCACATGAGTGTGCGTAAAATAATTAAATAGAACTCGAAGCGTGTAACAATAACGAGCGCATAAAAGTATTTTTTTCAATTAAAATAAATATTTCGTGAAAACGGTATAGTCGCCAATCTAATTTAAACGCTAGTGTATTAATAAGTAATTCGCTAACAAATTGAAAACATGAATTGCTAAATCCATATAGCATTACACGTAGTCTAATTTTTATTTGTTTGACAAGCAATCATAATTCAAGTCTAATAGCTCGAAAGAAGCTTAACGGTCACGAAAACCTGTTTTTTATTATTTATTACGATTATCTATAAAAATGATTTAATATTGCCTAGTCAAAAATTGAAGGATTTTTAGATGTATTTAAAAATAGAAACAACAAAATTATTCGACTGGAAAGAACGTTACTGTCGTTTCATTGCCAATCTACAAAACACCGTTACAACTTGTGCGTCACTGTTGGTGGGCATAAATGCACGTCAAAATTCGACATCTCGACTGAAACACATGTGGCAATAGTTGCAAATACGATGATTGAAAACGATGAAGCTGATAAAATAATTGACTCAACTGACCTACACGCAACTAGGCCAATATTGAATCCATTCGTTTTTCGTTTAACTACCTTCGATAATTCTACGCTCCAGTTTGTCAGAAGTTCTGCAATAATATTTTTAAAAAATATCAGCTACAGCCAAACCGACTTGGAAAAATTATACCAATAAGACAGTAGAAGACCGCGTAACTCGTTTTTCTCGTTCAATAGACACGATGATAATATTATTATTGAAATGTTAATGGAAAAACGCGCGATTTCACGCACCGGATATTCCCGTCCGCGGTTTCACACGCCCACGACACGTTGTCGCTATTGGACGGGCCGCGGAAAGTACAATACGCACACATATCTATACGTATCAATAACAAAAACGGGGTAACAACAATGCAGTGGTAACTTGACCATTATGTCTACTGAAGCTTCGGGCGCGTATATTGTGTAAAAAAAGGTCACGTGTGTGTGTGTCGAAAGGAACGTCAAAACGTATCTGTATTTTGTATAGACATAGAAAAACGTGTGATAAAAAGACGCGATGGTCGGAAAAACAAATTGGGTTCTCACGGCTGGACAAATCGTCTGGACGTGTCACGGAGACGTGGCCCGACGCGAATCGCGTTCTTCGGACACGCCGCATCCGACACGGTCGGTTTCTCCGGGTAACCAGCCACCTACGCACAAGGCTCCTTTAGTCGCTACTCCTTAGCCGTAACACTACTACGGCAGCTGATGACTAAATTGGTGTCGCTGTGTTTACACACGCGTGCGTCCCAGGCATACGATTAGGTACCGTTTCGAGCCGACCTAATCGACGGACCGATTAATAATGTTACCCGCCGTTTGTTTAACGCACAGTATTTTATTAGTACCGATACCGCCCGACTGCGAGGAAGTCAATCGCGGTCTCAAACACTTCGGCGGGATGCATGGAGAGCAATTTCTGCGGCGCGGTCGTGCATTGAACTGTAACGTTAATCTAGTGTTGACATAAAACGATAGGAATTAATTAAAAGTCCATCTGATAGACGTCACGCCGTTGACAACCGCAATAGACTTTTCTGTAGCGCCGAAATGGAAAGAAACCGTCACGTCACAATTATTGAAACGTACTGTGTACATATGAGAGTGATTAGTGTTGCATACGATTTCGCCTCCGCATCCGCCCCGAAATTGAATGATACGCGAATGTTGTCGTAACCAAATGAGATCTAATACGCTGCAACGATGAAAATCATGTTAACACAAGACATGTTGGAGGATCTACGAGAGGAGTTGTTCGCATTTTAATGACGGACTCGGTGGAGAAAACGTGTCGAAACGTTCAGGTTTATTGTGGCAGATACTAAAATAATAGTGATGATAATAACATTATAATATTTATTCGGTCGATATCGTGCGCTGTCCGTTTCTTTTTCAATCTGTTGTTCGACTCGATTGCATTTACCACGTTTTCTCGGACAGATAAACATATTATAACAAAAAAAAAAAAAAAAAAG